GCAGTTGTAAAAAGTATTGACACAATGTCAAGATCAGAGAACTCATGGTTGTGGTACAACAAAAGATGTAACCAATATTATTCTTATGATAAAGAGAAAAGCATGATGGGCATAAAGAAGTTCAGTTATGTCTGATTGAGAGTTGTCAGCAGAAGAACTTCGTGTCTCTTGACTAAGTTGTCCATCCGAGAAATTCAGATGAGGACACGCATAAAGAAGTTCAACTTTACTTGACAGAGAGTCGTCAGTAAAGGGACTTCGTGTTTCTTGACTAAGTTGCATGTCTTCACTCAGATGAGGGAAGGGACCTCTTTGGGATTAGCATTTCAGTATTTCCTTGGGACTGATGAGACGTCTCTTAGAAGAGAACTTCCCAGCTGAGGGAAGGGACCACTCTGGGGCCAGCACTAAGCATCCCTCTTGAGACTGAAAGGAGGACTCCTGCAAGGGTTTGGTGTTGGTTATCATGTTGTTGTTTAGTGCCTACTGAGACTGAATGAACGTCTCTTGATAAATGTTTGTCCTGTTACTTGGGGCATGGGTAGTCTGCTTGTTAGTTATGATATGCTTGTTTAATTGTTTGTGCCTGGGATTTTATTCTCTAACCTAAAGATGCATTGATTGTCGGGGCTAGCCAGAGCCTTACCGTAGGAGGTTGCAATTTGGTGGGGTCAGCAGGTCCCCGACACGAGTATCGAATTCCGTAGTCGACTGAGGCTAAGACTCTGGGGGTCTGGCCTGTGAGGTCGAAAGGGATCAGCTGGAACCCTACCGCAGTCAGAGGATGCAATCCAGCGAGGTTCACCAGAGCCTGGAACTGTGGTTAGACCGGGTACCACGTTCAAAAATCTGGGCGGGGCAGCCAACGCCCTAGGTAAAAAACTGGTGGGTGAGCCGGTCTCCGACCACAGTGGTCAAATCCGGGTTCGGGGCAGTTTGACTGACGGGAGGTCTACTGTCATAGGGTGACCAGACCCGCTATAGTCTGGGTGTCCTGGTGAGAGTGCCAAAAGGCTGCCATACTCGAGTAGTGGGTATGCTGGTCCTGACCTGGAGGCAGGTCAAAGGGGCTGTCAAGACAGACCAGAGAAAAGAAAAGGGGTTTGGTATCCCCTTCCTTTTATTTGAGAAGTTGAGGAGACGCCTCACTCAGATGAGAGAAAGAAAACAGGGTTTGGTATCCCCTGAGTCACTTGAGAAGTTAAAAAGATATATCACTCAAGCCAGAGAGCAGAAAAATAGCACTTCCAGCATGGCAGACTGGATAAGTACCACAAGCATTGGTATCAGACTGACAGTGCTTCCAATTTTGCAGCCAAGATGAAAGATGAGGTACCCCTTTTATACTGTAAAATTTGGATTCAGAACAGGTTTCAGAACAGTAAGAGATCAAAGCCAACAACAAATTAAAAAAAAAAACATAATCCTTCTTCAAATTTATTTGGTGGCCGACAAGCGGCCTAGTTCACGAGGAACCTGCATCCCCAGCCTCGAAGTATTCAAACTCTCAAGCCAGGGATGCTATGGAAGGTAACGCGGAATTGGTGAAAAAATAATTCAGAAATTTGAGAGAAAGTCACGTTTGTACAGGATGTAAAGGATGACCATGAATTCGGTCTGAAGTAAAGAAAGAAGGAAGAAAATGCATAAAAGGGTACAACCATTGGGATGAGGGGTAGAGGGATCAGTGCAAGGAACGGAAGGGACAGTCGTTAGGGCTCTGCTCGCCGTGGGAGTGATGGGAGCTCTAGGAGTGTAAGGAGGGGAAGAAGTGTTGGACGCACCGTAGCGCGCTTCAAACTTCTTCTGGAAATACTTCATTCTATCCGGGGAGGGAGTTCTCTTATACCACGCCGCAAAAGAGTGGCGGGGATAAGGCCTTGAGTGTGTGCCATAGCTTATTGGCTCATCTTCCTCCTCCTCCGAACTGTATCACACCGCGCGAGCTGGAGGCTATTCATGCGCCTTCCCTCCTTTACCGCCCCTTCCTTTGCCCCTGTCTCTTATACACATCTAGATGTGTATAAGAGACAGCTCTTATACCACGCCGCAAAAGAGTGGCGGGGATAAGGCCTTGAGTGTGTGCCATAGCTTATTGGCTCATCTTCCTCCTCCTCCGAACTGTATCACACCGCGCGAGCTGGAGGCTATTCATGCGCCTTCCCTCCTTTACCGCCCCTTCCTTTGCCCTGTCCCCTACGTGCTTCAGGCATGAACAATGGATTCGTGAAAACCAGAGAAACAGACCAAAACCAAACAAATCCTATAGACAGAAAAACGTCAATGCAACATAGCATTTTTTGAGAAGTAAAGGTTGATTTTGCACCGTTTCATGCGCAAATGTCATCGAAAACCCCCTAAAAATTAATAGATATTCGAGGCCGACAACAACGTGGAAAAAAGAGCCAATTTTCGAGGCGAACAGGCGACTCCTACTCATGGCCGACGAAAAGATCTCCAATTTATGGAGATTTCAGTACAAAACAAAACGACCAGTCAGTACTGTACATTGGAAGTAGTATTTTGTTTTAAAACAGAAGAGCTTTTTCCGGAACCCAATCCAAGGATGTAAAAACTAACCAAAAACCTGGCAAGCCGAATAGACGGGTTGGTAATCCTCTTTCTTTGCACTCATAATACAAAGGAAATAGAAGCTTGAAAACGAAGGTATTAAAAAAACGGAATCCAGAGGAAAGCAAAAAACAGCCAACGGCAACTAATTTCAAATCTCCAAAAGTTGTGGACAGCCGATTGACCAGATTCGACCGTCACGGAAATTCAACGACTTCCAACCACGACCTTATAGGCCTATAACGAGAATTTGCGCAAATTCAGAAAAGAGCCGAATTTCACGAGATTTGAAAGCGACCCTCGAAAATTCTCTCGAAATTCGAAAACCGCACTTTTCGAATTCAAGGCCAACAACGAGTGTTTGAAAACGAAACACGGACATAAGAATTTTAGTCCACAATAGGTAAAGTGTTTACAACCCTTTAAACGCAATGTTCAACATCAAAGAAATTCAACGAAATTCAAACACGACCTTATAGGCCTATAAGGCTATAATGAGAATTTGCGCAAATTCTGAAAAGAGCAGAATTTCGCGAGATTTGAAAGCGACCCTCGAAAATTCTCTCGAAATTTGAAAACCGCACTTTTCAAATTACAGGCTTCTACCGAGTGTTTAAAAACGAAACACGGATATAAAAATTTTAGTCCACAATCGGTCAAGTGTTTATAGCCCTATAAACACAATGTTCAACAGCACGGAAATTCAGCGAAATTCAAACACGACCTTATAGGCCTATAACGTGAATTTCAGGAAAGCAAAAAAATAGCATAATGTTAGTCCATTATCGGTCAAGTATTTAAAACCCTTAAAACGCAGTGTTAAAAGTCACGACAATTCAACGAAATTCAAACACGACCTTGTATGCCTTTAACGTGGATTTGAGGAAAGTAGAAAAGAGCATAATCGATTGGGTGCTTGAAGCGCTGTAAACGCTATGTTGAACGTCGTGAAAATTCAATGAAATGCAAACATGACCTTGTAGGCCTTTAAAACGAATTTGCGGAAAGTAGAAAAGAGCATAATGTCGCGAGAATTTAAATGACAAACCGCAAATCGACAATTGTTCATGTGACAAATGTTTTGGTCAAAAAATGAATGACAAACCACAAATCGAAGAGTCGGAACCTAAACGGCAAATCGTGAGTCAATTTTCAAAATATCAAAATTGTAAAGTGAAAAACCGTAAAGTACATTGGAAAAGATCACGAAAACAAAAAGGTTCGCCACACGTGCCAGGTTGCGAACTGCGACCTAGTGTTGTACAAATTTACAAGAATTCACAAGCCGTTAACGACTAAACTCAGATAACAAAAAGGTTGGTCACTCGTGCCTGGGTGCGAACTGCGACCTACTGTTGTACAAATTTACAAGAATTTACAAGCCGCTAACGACTAAACTCAGATAATCTGTTGAACAACGATAAAAGGAAACCTGGTCTAATGCGGAAGCAGAAATGACCTTGATCTCGATGACTCTCTGCCAACCTCTGAAGCAATCGGTTCCTAGAAGGTCTTCATAGTCGACATCCTCCGTTGCCATGGAATTCAACATCTCAGAGATCTTTTGTCTGGTCTGCGAGAAAAGGGTCCAGTCTGTCTTCAGTTGGAAGTTGTAACAAAGAACGCCGAAGCTCCAGTCATAGACGTCCTCGGAAGGCTCTCTCGTAGTCTTTCCTTGAGGATTTATCTTGAACTGAGGGTAGTAACCCTCTCCTTTCTTACGTTGTGCAAACCAAGCATGTTTAAATCGTTTACATGCTAGCAGCTCGACAACCTTGCCAATGTGGTAAGGTTTGTCTCTCTCTTCCTGCCCCGAACAAACTCGTAATGCGATGAAAGTGTTGACCTCGAGATCGTCGTACTTTCCGTCTCTGTCCTCTCGAAACTGTCTGCTCTTGCGTGCGCCAATGTAGGTGGGTCTCTCAGGAGGGAAAAAATCATCCCAGCGTTGGTCAAAGCCATTAGCGGTTGGTGAAACTTCCTTACCTGCTCTGCTGACATCAACTGTTAGTCTGTTACAAAGGGCCACGCGAAAGGCTCTTTGAGGTTTGTGTCCTCAAGGTCGAGAGTTTCCTGCGTTGCTATAAACTTATTCCACCATTCAATGTTGTGGGGTTGAGCGTAATGCGCCAGGGCATGTACGTTGGCTTTCAAGGCGGCGATGGAAAGTACATCATCGTCAACCTTGAATTTCGAAAATCCTCCCGCTTTTCGATTACAGATATGACCTTCACTTCTGACGACCTCATCACGCCTCTCGTCCTTACCCCGACAAGTAAGTCGATATCTTGCTACCAAAGATCGGATTACATGCTTTGGTGAAGCTTGAACTTGTCCCGTTGGCTCTGACTTGAAGATGTCCAGACCTTCTCTGTCGTTCGGCTGCCACTGCGAATCATGATATTGCTTGCTCCAAATGCGCACCTCCCCGTTATCGTTGCGCTTGATTCGAAAATGTTGGTTGAAGCTAATATCATTGACATTATGTAGATGATCCTGAACGTACAACTTTCAGTCCATTGTTTCCGTCATCTCTTCAACGTGCACGCCATGATCTTGTTCTACCTTGTACGACTCCCTAATCACGTATTGCAACTCAGGAAGATCGAACGCACCATGTGCAGCCAGCTTTCTCGAGAAACAACTGAACATCTGGTCGATATCCTCGTGCGTGTGACCTACAAGACGAAAGTTTAACTTAACTTTACTAAACACTCTCATTTTCACAAAGAACACGCGATATGACAACACAAATTTGTTCTTGTTCTCTTTTGAAGTGTTATAAAGTGTAAGATACAGGACTCTCGGAAATGGTACAAGAAGTTGACGATGAAGAACAGTTAGCATGCAATTAGAATTTGATTTGAAGTTGTCAAAGAAAACAGTTGCAGAGGCGTTCGATAAGAGTCCTAACACCTTAGCCCCAACCACGTGAACTTTCACAAAGTTCCCTTCTTTTAGTTTCGAATCCTTTGGAACCCTAGTGAAGTGTGGCAGTATAGTATTGCTCTGATCCATCCCATCAATGATCCTTACGACATACTCTGATGAATGATTTGAAGCCTTATGGCGATGCTCACTTAGTTTTTGTCTCTCTTCTGCTTGCATTAACCGGTGCTTCGCTAGTGCCTTGCCAAACATTTCTGCGCAAAAAACAAAACAAGCGGTTACTTTGTCAAAACATGTTAAAGAAAAGAGACAATGCGCGATGAAGGGCCTTAAAATCGAAAGCGATGACTAGACAAAGTGTTATAGGGCTATAACTCAGGAAAGCCAGTCCACAAGTGTCGTGCATAATAAAATTCAAAGTTTGGGCAAGGCAACGCAGACGTCAATAATAACAAAGACTTCGAAATCGAAGACGGCTAACAGATAAAGTGTTAAAGGGCTTTTACTCTAAGAAGTCGAAGACAATTATTAGACAAAGTGTTATACGGCTAAAACTCAGAAAAGTGAGTCCACAAACGTCGTAGAATTTTCAATTCATTCTTCACCAAAATTTATGTTTTGATTGACTGAACGAGGTCAGGGAAGGCAACACAGACGTCACGAAGACGATTCTTAGATAAAGTGGTCAAGGGCTTTAACTCTGAAAAGTCAAAGACGAATAAGAGACAAAGTGTTATAGGACTATAAATGAGACAAAGAGAAGACGTTTAACTATTTCTTTACCAAACTTTCTACTTTCATAAGAATCCTTCCCAGTTTGCGCTGACACTAGATTCATTTTTATTTCTACACGAAGAACATTTAGAGAGAGAGAGAGAGAGAGAGAGAGGAAGAAGAAGAAGAAATACGAGAAACGAAGAAGAGTTCCATGAGAATCCTTCTGTAAATGTGCAAGTCACAGCCTCTACTTTCTGCAAAAACAACTTAAAGGGATAAAATTCAAAATAATCAGTCGTGTTGTGGCAAACGTCGAAGAATGAACACTAAGAGAGAAAGAGAGAGAGAGAGAAGAAGGGTCAGGAAGACAGGGGGAGAGAAAATAAGCACTGAGGTTACGTCATTACCTCGTTCGAAGGCACTTGTTGCCTGTGAACGGTCTGTCTTGAATTTCAGACATGTGGAACAGACCGAGAACCTCTTCAATGCAGGAATAAGAACTTTCGGGCATTGAACCCTCCAAATGGTCATAAATCTTGAACGAGAAGGAAGAGTCTTATTCGTGTAGAGCTCTTTGCAGTCTCGCTTGAAGAAGTCGTACACGTCTCTGCGCCGGAGAGTATCTGAAAAATGAAACTGGTCGCTATTTGGCATACTCTCAGTATTGTATCGGATATATTCATGCAACCAGGTGAGAATTTGCTGTGATGAAGCAGATAATCCGACTGATCCTTTGTTTGCAGGCTCGTACAACACCATTCCTTCTCTGAATTCTTTGCGTATCTTTGCAACACGTGTAGTCGAGCATCCGTACAGCTTTCTCCACACTTTTGTGCAAACCTTTACGTCGTTGAACGTCACTCTTAACACCTCTAAATCTCCCTCATCCGAAAAGTACGACGCAACCCTCGTCTCTGCGAGAAAGAAGTTGAGTTGCTCAGGTTCTTTCATCGCCCAAAATTCTTCGAGCTTGTACAAAACATCGACGACCGTGAACTTCTTGTAACAGTTGGCCTTGCAGCAATCTTCCTTCAAAACTTGTTCGACATTCTTCATGTTCACGTGGTAGTTAGCTTTCTTGTTGTACACACGTACATTCTTGTCGCGCTTTCCCAATTTGTAAGGAGGTTTCTCTCTCGTGCTTGATTTGCTGTACAGTCCTCTTCTCACCTCCTGTGCTATTGTCTGCTTCGCTTCTCCTAAAAGATCTCCAAATAGACTCTTCTTGAATATGTCGACATCAATTCCCGACTCGTTCTTCCCTTTCTCATCCTCAGAGTCTGTGTCTTCTGAATCCGCATCCTCGCTCGTTTCCTTCTCCTCATCATCGTCGTCGCTCGATTCGCCCTCCTCATCATCGTCGTCACTAGGTTCCTCTTCCTCAGTGTCGTTGTCATGCAGTTCTTGCGCCACGCTATCATAGAGCGTTTCTTTCACAACAAAGTTTTCGCTCATGTCCTGTACATCGTCTCTCTCTCTGGATTGTTCGCCTTCAGCGTTCGGGCACTGGCGCTTCCCTGGGCGCTCTATTTGGATTGTATTCCCCGTTTTGCCAGTTGCGCAGAGACCCATCCCTGTGTTTGCTGCTCGGCATGGCGCAACAACCGTTCTCGTTGTCGTGATCGATCGCGGACGCTTTGGAAACAAACAGACATTGGTGGTCTTATCACCAGTTGCACTGAGCTTCGGTAGAGGGTTCTGCTTCTCGCCTCCGCGTGTACAACATTGACGCAGGTCCAAAAACCACCTGCCATTCTTCGTCTTGACACTCATGGCATCAACACTCTTCTTACATTGAGAAAGGTCTGGAAACCATCTCACGGGGTTAATCTTTTGAGTACTCTGAGTACATCTTTCGGTTAAAGAATCCATAGCAGGAAGATATGATAGGACAACCTATTTGGCATCTGGAAATGACGATGGCGGCACCTACGAAAGAGAAAACTCGGTGTTACCGCGAGAAAGTGTGTCAGAGGACGGCCGAAAGAGCGTCGCTAACGGGCGTAGACTTCTTGGACATGGAAGATATGATACGAGAACCTATCTGGCATCTAGAAATGACGATGGCGTCACCTACAAAAGAGAAGACTCGGTGTTAGCGTGAGAAAGTGTGTCAGAGGACGGCCGGAAGAGCGTCGCTAACGGGCGTAGACTTCTTGGACACCAAATCGAAATAAAATGAGAACATCCGCTACTGCGACCCCCGTCAAGAACATCATTCACAATTTTGGATTTCCCGCCAACGGATTTTGGAGAAGTACAATTTTTGAGCCGATAGCGACTGGGATCCTCGTAAAGAATATCTTTAAAAATTGTCAATTTTCCGCCAAGGTTTTTGCAAAAGTGTAATTTTCGGACCGTTAGCGACAAAAATTCGGAGAGCCCAGACTCCCTCCAAAACAAATAATTTTGACCGCCCAGCCACTGGGATCGTCGTCAAGAACATCGTTAAAATTTAAATTTTCCGCCAACGCTCGTCTCGAAAATTGAAATTTTAGATAGCTAGCGACCAAACTTCGGAAAGCCACGACCTGCGCCCAGCTACTGGGATCCCCGTAAAAAAACATCTTTAAAAGTTGTCAATTTCCCGCCAAGGTTTTTGCAAAAGTGTAATTTTCAGACCGTTAGCGATAAAAATTCGGAGAGTCCGGACTCCCGCCAAAACAAATAATTCCGACCGTCCAACCACTGGGATCGTCGTTAAGAACATCGTTAAAATTTAGATTTCCCACCAACGGTCGTCTCGAAAATTGAAATTTTAGAGAGCTAGCGACCAAATTTCGGAGAGTCACGACCCGGTAAAACAAACAATATTGAACGTCGAGCGCCCGCTTACGCTGTGACTGGTTCTCCCCTGAGTTGAATACGGAATTTAACTTCTTGGAGACCAAACCAGGAATTGGACGACCCCGCTACAAGATTCCTGAATTGTGAGAAAGACTCCACAAGGTCGGGAGCGGCAAAAAAGAATTTCAAAGAGGACGAGCATCGTTGAGCGTCGCCGTAGCTCAGAGAGCAAACATACAGATACAAACAGAGAGAGAACGAAAGCAGCGTCGTAGTTGCTTAATGACCGTGGTTCCAGTGTAGATCGTCAGGAGTATCGAATACACAAATTTACAAACATGGAGAGAGAGAGAGAGAGAGAGAGAGAGAGAGAAAAAAAAAAATAAAATTGTCTTTGATAATTTCGCTGTAAGAAGAACTCTTATGATTTGCATGTTTTTCGAAATCTTAAACTGCTGTTTTTAAAAGAATAGTGCTATAAACTTGGATTACAAATAAATAAGAAATACACTCCTTCGAGGACCGAAGCAGGACAAATTTATGGTTTTATTAATAAGTTGAAATTGCCAGATTTCTTATAATTCTGTCATTTTTTTAGAAAGATGTAGACCTGTATCCTTACTCTTTTTTCCATGTTCTTGCTCCACAACCAAGGTTAAAGATATAGCCCTATAGTTCCGATTCAAATAACAATGACAACGAAATGAAAAATGTTGTTTTTTAAGGGTCTGAGAAGAACATGTAGTGGTCGGGGGAGAAGAACATGTAGTGCTCGAGGTGGAATTTATGTCTAAGAACAGAAATACTTGAAGGACGTGTCTTTCTCATTTCTTCTTGTTGCTTATCTGGATCTAGGGATGTGGGACTGTATTTGTAACCTGCCTGACTTGTTTCGTTTATGTCATTTGCAAAGGCTAATGTAGGCCTATATCATCCATCTTCTTTGCATCGTCCTCCTCCTCAGCCAAGGTTACAGACAGAGCCCTAGAATCTTGAGTCCATGCAAGAACGACAACAAAAAGGTCCTCTTCCTTTCGTGGATGTAGGGATTGAGGACTGTGTTTGTAAATTGCCTGATATGTTTTATGTAATCGTTTTCTAGGAGGAATGTTTTGCCTGTATCCTCCGGCTCCTTCATGCCTCGTCTTCCTCCTTGCCATGTTCTTCCTTCCTCCTCCTCACACATACACACACAACCTTGCCATGTTATCTTCTTACTCCTCCTCTTCCCCTCTCCTTCTGCTACTTGTCCAGCTCCTTACCATCTTACTCCTCCCTCCTCTTTCCTTCTCCTACTTGCCATCTTCTTCTTCCTGCCATCTTCTCCTCCTTCGCACATTCCCCGCGCCTTCTCCCTCCCTTCCGTCCCGCGTTCCATCCCATCCGCGTCCACACCTTCTCCCTCCTTTCCGTCCCTCGTTCGACCCCCCCTTCTTCCCCCTGAGGTTCTTCTTCCCCGAATCCCCCACCCCTCGCCTTCCCCTGTTCCTTCCCCCCCACGTTCCCCCCGCGTTCCTCCGGTTCCTCCATGCCTTCTCTTGCTCCTTGCCATGTTCTCCCACTACTCCAGCTCCTTACCATCTTGAAGTTCCTCCTCCTGCCATCTTCTCCTCCTCCTCCTACTTGCCATCTTATTCTTCCTGCCATTTTCTCCTCCTTCCCACATTCCCATCGCCTTCTTCCTCCCTTCCGTCCCGCGTTTCATCCCATCTCCGTCCCCGGCTTGTTCCCCATGGGGCTCTTCTTCCCC